AGTGAGTGGGGTAAGAGGATGGGGGAGTGGTTATACACTCTCAGATTTTTTTTCTCCAAAGGGTTTATTGGCTGTCCCCATTGGAGAACTCTTTTTGGTTCCATGTAGAACCCTCTGTGGAAAGGAACCAAAAGGGTTCTACCTTGAACCAAAATGTGGTCATCAAAGGGTTCTCCTATGGGGACAGATAGCACCTATTTTTCTAAGAGTAGAGACAGTCAGAATAAGAGAGGAGGAGGAGGAGGGGGGGGGGGGGGGGGTATGAGAGGAGAGGTACGTGATAAGAAGAAGGGAGGGGGTGTTAGTATGTGGTTTGGGAGAGGATGAGAAGAGAGGTAGAGAAGAGAGGAGGAGGAGACGGGGGTGTTAGTGGTTTGCGGTTTGTTTGCTATTGGAAACAGCTTGTAAACATTCTGGGTAACGAGGACGCATTATAGCCATAACATTACAGTCCTGGGTCCCCACAGGTTGTGCAAGCTTTTGTTCCAGCACTAACACATCATCATTTTCTTCTTCTTCTTCTTCTTCTTCTTCTTCTTCTTCTTCTTCTTCTTCTTCTTCTTCTTCTTCTTCTTCTTCTTCTTCTTCTTCTTCTTCTTCTTCTTCTTCTTCTTCTTCTTCTTCACCCTCTCAACACATCTTGTACCTGTTAGGTGGTTGTTTAAAAAAAAAAAAAAGGAGTGGAAACTTCATACCTCAGCCTTAACATAACATCAGTCTCTCTAACCACAATGACCTTTTACTAAAAACCACCGCATGAGAGAATGATAGCAAACAGCACACTGCCCATGTATAGCAGTGGAAACTATATATTTTCTGACATAGGCCTATATGGAAACATGCTGTTCATTACAAAAATATTGTTCAGATGATGTGGTCAGGTGATCTCTGCAATATGGACCTACATAAATTGTCTCAGAGTATGAGTACTGATCTATGATCAGGTCCCCCTTGTCCAGGTAATCTTATTCATTATGATCTAAAAGGCAAAACCGATCCTAGATCAGCACTTCTACTCTGAGATGCTTTATGAATACAGGCCCTAACAATAATGTATTATTTTTGCACAGCACGATTTCAGGTACAGAGAGATCAATAACAGCAGTAGTAACTGTCAAAGGCAACAATATCTCAGATGATTAGCATGGTTAAACGGTTGCATCTCTGGCCATGATTCTGGAAATGTCTTCAGGTAATAGTTGATAGTATAGTGTGTAGCTAAGTGTATATTTCTGAAACCTGAGTGTGTCAGAACGTGTCACAGAGAGACGCTAGTCGTGGGTCGGGTGATCATCTTGATTATGATTGTTATATTGAATTTGGTAATGCATCATTTCCAAAGTGAGATAGAGAGAGATAGGGGGAGAGAGAGAAGAGGGGGAAGATGGGAGGAGAGAGGGGAGAGAGAGAGAGAGGGGAGGAGAGAGAGTGGGGGGGGGGGGGGGGGAGAGAGAGACCAAAATACAATGTCTTGCTCTGTGAGTGGCGCCCAATATAGACAGACATAGACACTCATTTACTGTGTCAGCCTCAATAGAGTTGGAGTAATGCTATAGTTAGTAACATCATCAATACAGCTGTCATCCTTCATCCAACCCTTTCCATGTGTTTTATCTAGCTCCATCACAGCTCATCCAATGACACAAGCTGTCCAGCGTGGGCCGTTCACTATCTAAAGGTAAGAGACAAAATATCTTAAATATTTTAAAATTCTATATTTTAAAATGCACCTAAAATGTTATGCAAATTTGAATAACCTACTAAATGGGTTTACCGTGTTTAACCCTCCCGTTGTCCTAGGGTCAAAATGACCCGCCACTGTGTTGAACCAACTTTATTTAATTTTTATATTTTTGGGATAATTTGTGAGAAGGAGGCAGTGAGACTTTAAAGAAAGTATCACTGCCTCCTTCTCACAAATGATCCAAAAAATATAACAATTAAATAAAGTTGGTTCAACACAGTGGCGGGTCATTTTGACCCTAGGACAACGGGAGGGTTAAGTTTGTGCTTGGGTTGTTACTGGCATACTAGTGTGTAAGAAACGTTTGTTAATAAGATGTTTTAAGCAAATAACATTCATGTCTACTAATATGTGTTACAGTAAAACAGATGCTACGTTGTATTGTATATCTCTGCTTATGTGCACTAATACGTTTCTGTTCTGTAAATAAATATGTTTTTATGGATCCCTCTCCCACTTGCACACCTGTGGGAGTGTGCTGATATTTCTGTTCAGTTTCTGTGGCTTTCACTGTGCGTGTGGCTATGGTAAACCTGATAACACTTGATCTACTTTCATGGAAAAAAACACACCACGCAGACAGACGTAGAACATTTCACTTTTTCTTCTCTCTTATGCTTCAGTCTGTTAACATCCCAAATGGCACCCTATTCCCTACATAGTGCACTACTTTTGACCAGAGCCCAATGAGCCCTGGTCAAAAGTAGTGCCCTATATAAGAAATAGGGTACCATTTGGAACATTGACTAAGCCACTGACATCTGTTGCTAAGGTCATGTCTCCTACTGTGTTCTAGAATGAGAAAAAGGACAAGGAGGAAGTCATAATGGAGGTTCTATGGTGTCTCCGCCTCCCTCTGCTCTCACTGTATGTCATCCAGCTCCTCCCCCTACTAACCTGCTCCACCCAACAACAGCCCTGTAAGTCATCAATACCCTCTTCATAATGCATTAAAAGCACATTTATAATGACTATGAGGTTAAAGTGCAGACTGTCAGCTTTAATTTGAGTGTATTGTCATCCATACCGGGTGAACACTTTTTGTACATAGTCCACCCATTTTAGGGGACCAAAAGGATTGGCTTCCTCAGTGATTTTACCCACGCACCGCTATTGGATGCTACCATGATTACGGATAATCCTCAATGAATCGTGAATAATGATGAGTGAAAAAGTTACAGAGGCATAAATATCATACTCCCCCAGAAATGCTAAGGTCCCCTGTTATTGTAATGGTGAGAGGTTAGCTTGTCTTGGGGCTAGGATATTTGTTATTGTAATAGTGAGAGGTTAGCATGTCTTGGGGCTAGGATATTTGTTATTGTAATAGTGAGAGGTTAGCATGTCTTGGGGCTAGGATATTTCAAATCAAATCGCTTTGAGAGCATACGTCATTAACAGAAACAACTTGAATTGTTGCATCTCGTTGTGTTGTTCTCCTCCGGTGGCTAGCTAGCTAGCTAGCTAAAATTGTCCCTTTCCTATTAGCCATTGATGGAGATAGGCATTTGGACTTGTGGTTTTACTTAATCCTCCGTACTGGAAAACGGCGATTCTGATCCAACCATTAATTCATACATTGTTGTGCCCTGTCCTGAGAGGATGGAAGTTCAAGCAAGCATTTTAGCCAGGTAGCCTAGGACAAAAAAAAAGTGTGTACTGTATGACAGAACGTTTCGTCAACATTAAAGACCGGAGGATGGTATTGGCGTTTCTCTACAAGTAGAGTGAGTCAACATGTTTTTGTACTTGCGCGAACGCGCGCGCGTTCAAACAGAAATCAGATTTAGCTGATGTTGATTGAACACATTTTTGGGGAGTATCTTTTAGTTGTCACTGTATTAGACTAAGCAGAGGTGATGTGATGATGTTGAAATGTTGAAGTTCAAATGGTGCTGGAATAGTGGAGGCAGCTCCTGTTTTCTTTGCGACTTGCAGTAACTCTCTGTGGTTCTAAATCAACAGTTGTTTAGTGGTCTGAAAATGTTGGAGACATTAACTTGCTTAACCATGCTGTAGGTCATGTAACTGTCTGTTACATGCAATATGCGTAATGGACTTCACCGGACAGAGGTTGCTATCCGTTTTGTGGATATTACAAAGGTGTGGTTGAATTTATTCTGCCACTGTGTCTTCTTACTGTCTCAGCCTTTAGGCCTATATATCACGGTCACAAGGCATATGAATGAACAGCAAACAACGCAATTATCACAACACATAGAGTGTAGGTTGTAATATGGGGGGGGCTGCTTGGCTTCCTCAGTGATTTTACCCACGCACCGCTATTGGATGCTACCATGATTACGGATAATCCTCAATGAATCGTGAATAAGTTACAGAGGCATAAATATCATACTCCCCCAGAAATGCTAAGGTCCCCTGTTATTGTAATGGTGAGAGGTTAGCTTGTCTTGGGGCTAGGATATTTGTTATTGTAATAGTGAGAGATTAGCATGTCTTGGGGCCAGGATATTTGTTATTGTAATAGTGAGAGGTTAGCATGTCTTGGGGCTAGGATATTTGTTATTGTAATAGTGAGAGATTAGCATGTCTTGGGGCTAGGATATTTGTTATTGTAATGGTGAGAGGTTAGCATGTCTTGGGGCTAGGATATTTGTTATTGTAATGGTGAGAGGTTAGCATGTCTTAGGGGTATGGTATTTGTGCGTATGAAGTATACCCAAGTTAGTTGTGGTTTTCTTTTAGAAGAGTGCAAACGGTAAGTCATCCTGGTTATTCAGTTCCATTGATTTCTATCCAATATTAATGAGTGATTAATTTGCGCACGCTATTGTGTCAAACTATGTGTCAAGACGTGACCTATCTTGATACAGGGCTATTGTCTCTCTGTGTTACCAGCTATGCATAATGCACTATAATGAATGATAAAGAGATATTATATACATGATATAGAGATATGATATACATTATATAGAAATATGATATATAATAAAACATGACATAGAGCCTTATAAAACATGACATAGAGCCTTCTAAAACATGATATAGTGCCTGATAAAACTGGTCATTAAACAATGCTATGCCCCAACTCTTGAAGCAATCTCTCTGGTCTCTTCCTCTCATTCCATCTCATCGCTCTCTTACTCTTAAACCTCTCTCTCTCTCCTCTCTCTCTCTCTCTCTTCTCTCCTCCATTTTGCTCTCTTTCTCTTGAACGTCTCTACTTCCAAACCCGTGCTCTGTTACGAAATACCAATCAATCAGTAACGTCAAACTTTCTCTGTTTCTCATAGGTCTGCAGTGTGTCAATGACTTAGTCAGTAACATCACTTGTGTGTTGAACATCACATGCGTGCCCCCAGACATGCCATGCATTCTGCATGGTGAATACGCTGGGACTAAAAGGTAAAGAAGACTAAGGATGCACCCTAACTGGAACCCTATTCCCATAGGACCCTGGTCAAAAGTAGTGCAATATATAGGGAATAGGGTGCTTTTTGAGATGCTAACTGAAACAATGGTTCACTGTTTTAACTACAGTGAATGTGAGATGAAGTCCTTGGGCGGTTCCAACACAGCTTTGAGAGGCGGCAGTCTGGTCTTTGAGGGCAATCCAGTGAGTTTTATAAAACTACATGAAGTTATAAATATGCATTATTATAGATGATAAGTATTTTAATAACAGATTATAAAAGTAATAAAATGAATGTAACACATTAATCTGGATGAATTAATTATTAAGTTTTTCCTAATAATAATAATAATAATAATAAAACAATGACAGCATATATATAGACCAATAGACAACCAACCCTGGATAACTGAACTTCTGTCAATTCTCTTTCAGTTCTTTTGGGACGATGATAAAATACCCATTAATGTACGGTGTGGACAAGCAGAAGATTATGTGATTCAGATTAACTACACGTATCAACCATTTAACCACAGTAAGTGTACAGTATTTTGAGGCCAAAGGTCTAAGTACTATTGTGTACGAAATGTCAGCTATGACTAACCTACTACTACACTACTAAATGCTGGAAAGCGTATTAATTTACAGTGCATTCGGAAAGTGTTCAGACCTCTTGACTTTTCCCCAAAATTGTCTTACGTTACAGCCTTATTCTAAAATGGATTAAATCGTACCAGAACTTTATTATCCATTTACATGAAAATTAATTTTGTGAGGTCAGCATACAAAATGCACAAACTCAATACACTATAATACAACATAATGCAATACAAAAATGCTGGAAAGCGTATTAATTTACAGTGCATTCGGAAAATGTTCAGACCTCTTGACTTTTCCCCAAAATTGTCTTACGTTACAGCCTTATTCTAAAATGGATTAAATCGTTTTTCCCCCTCATCAATCTACATACAATACCTCATAATGACAAAGCGAAAACAGTTTTTTATTTTTATTTCTGCAAATATATATATATATAAAAAAACTGATATGACATTTACATAAGTATTCAGACCCTTTACTCAGTACTTTGTTAAAGCACCTTTAGCAGCGATTACAGCCTTAAGTCTTGTTGGGTATGACGCTTGGCACACCTGTATTTGGGGAGTTTCTCCCATTCTTCTCTGCAGATCCTCTCAAGCTCTGTCAGGTTGAATGGGGATCATCGCTGTACAGCTATTTTCAGGTCTCTCCAGAGATGTTCGATCGGGTTCAAGTCCGGGCTCTGGCTGGGCCACTCAAGGACATTCAGAGACTTGTCCCGAAGCAACTCCTGCGTTGTCTTGGCTGTGTGCTTAGTGTCGTTGTCCTGTTGGAAGGTGAACCTTCGCCCCAGTCTGAGGTCCTGAACAGGTTTTCATCAAGGATCTCTCTGTACTTTGCTCCGTTCATCTTTCCCTCGATCCTGACTAGTCTCCCAGTCCCTGCCACTGAAAAACATCCCCACAGCATGATGCTGCCACCACCATGCTTCATCGTAGGGATGGTGCCATGTTTCCTCCAGACGTGACGCTTGGCATTCAGGCCAAAGAGTTCAATCTTGGTTTCATCAGACCAGAGAATCTTGTTTCTCATGGTCTGAGAGTCTTTTGTGTGCATTTTGGCAAACTCCAAGCGGGCTGTCATGCCTTTTACTGAGGAGTGGCTTCCGTCTGGCCACTCTACCATAAAGGCCTGATTTGTGGAGTGCTGCAGAGATGGTTGTCCTTCTGGAAGGTTCTCCCATCTTAACAGAGGAACTGTAGAGCTCTGTCAGAGTGACCACCGGGTTCTTGGTCACCTCCCTGACCAAGGCCCTTCTCCCCCGATTGCTCAGTTTGGCCGGGCGGCCAGCTCTAGGAAGCGTCTTGGTGGTTCCAAACTTCTTCCATTTATGAGTGACGGAGGCCACTGTGGTACCCTTCCCCAGATCTGTGCCTCGACACAATCCTGTCTCTGAGCTCTACGGACAATTCCTTTGACCTCATGGCTTGGTTTTTGCTCTGAAATGCACTGTCAATTGTGGGACCTGTGGCACTGTGTGCCTTTCCAAATCATGTCCAATCAATTGAATTTACCACAGGTGGACTCCAATCAAGTTGTTGAAACATCTCAAGGATGATCAAGGGAAATTGGATGCACCTGAGCTCAACTTTGAGTCTCATAGCAAAGGGTCTGAATACTTATGGAAATAAGGTATTTCTGTTTTTTACTTTTAATAAATGTGCAAACATTTCAAAAAAACTGTTTTCGCTATGTCATTATGGGGTATTGTGTGTAGATTGATGAGGAAATTGTTTAATTTAATACATTTTAGAATAACGTAACAAAATGTGAAAAAAGGGAAGGGATCTGAATACTTTCCAAATGCACTGTATACAACTTAATACTAATTCATACTAGACACTAACATTTCTAATTCAACTTAGTACTAGTAGTTCTGTTATAGTGATATTAGTGCTATATTAGTAATATATTAGTACTACTACGACTACATTAACTGTGTTGTTTTGTATTTTGGCAGTTAAGATGCACCCCCCTGGCAAGCCAAACATCACTAATTCCTCAATCGCATGGACACCAGGAGCTCCCATTTCAGATATGATCTCCCACTATAACTTCCAGCTACAGTGGAAACAGGAACTACATCACTGGGAGGTGAGAGAGAGAGGGGGGGGAGGGAGGGGGAGAAAGAGAGAAAGGGGGGAGGTAAGGGAGACAGAGGACAGAGAATGACAAGAAGGAAAGGGGAGAGATTAGAGAGAATACAGTGAAAGAGAGAATACAGTGAATGAGAGAATACAGTGAAAGAGAGAATACAGTGAATGAGAGAATACAGTGAAAGTGGGAATACAGTGAAAGAGAGAATACAATGAAAGAGAATTCAGTGAAAGAGAGAATACAATGAAAGAGAGAATTCAGTGAAAGAGAGAATACAGTGAAAGAGAGAATACAGTGAAAGAGAGAATACAATGAAAGAGAGAATACAATGAAAGAGAGATACAGTGAAAGAGAGAATACAGTGAAAGAGAGAATACATGAAATACATGAAGAGAGAAACATTCAGTGAAAGTGGAGAATCCGTGACGAGGAAACAGTGAAAGAGAGAATTCAGTGAAAGAGAATACAGTGGAATACAGTGAAAGTGAGAATACAGAAGAGAGAATAAGGAAAGAGAGATACACATGAAAAGAGAATACAAGTGAAGAGAGAAAATACAGTGAAAGAGAGAATACATGAAGAGAGAATACATGAAAGAGAGAATACAATGAAAGACAGAATACAATGAAAGAGAGAATTCAGTGAAAGTGAGAATACAGTGAAAAGAGAATACAGTGAAAGGGGGGAGGAAAGGGAGACAGAGGACAGATAATGACAAGAAAGGGGAGAGATTAGAGAGAATACATGAAAGGGGGAGGAAAGGGAGACAGAATGACAATAAGTGAAAGAGGAAGTGGAATTCAGTGAAGTGAGATACAGAGAGAATCAGTGAAAGAGAGAATACAACGAAAGAGAGAATTCAGTGAAAGAGAGAATACAGTGAAAGAGAGAATACAATGAAAGAGAGAATACAATGAAAGAGAGAATACAATGAAAGAGAGAATTCAGTGAAAGAGAGAATACAGTGAAAGAGAGAATACAGTGAAAGAGAGAATACAGTGAAAGAGAGAATACAATGAAAGAGAGAATACAATGAAAGAGAGAATACAGTGAAAGAGAGAATACAATGAAAGAGAGAATACAATGAAAGAGAGAATTCAGTGACAGTGAGAATACAGTGAAAGAGAGAATACAGTGAAAGGGGGGAGGAAAGGGAGACAGATGACAGATAATGACAAGAAGGAAAGGGGAGAGATTAGAGAGAATACAGTGAAAGAGCGAATACAGTGAAATAGAGAATACAGTGAAATAGAGAATACAGTGAAAGAGAATACAGTGAAAGAGAGAATAGTGAAAGTGAGAATACAGTGAAAGAGAGAATTCAGTGAATGTGAGAATTCAGTGAAAGAGAGAATTCAGTGAAAGTGAGAGTACAGTGAAAGAGAGAATACAGTGAAAGAGAGAATACAACGAAAGAGATAATTTAGTGAAAGAGAGAATACAGTGAAAGAGAGAATACAGTGAAAGAGAGAATACAGTGAAAGAGAAAATACAATGAAAGAGAGAATACAATGAAAGAGAGAATACAGTGAAAGAGAGAATACAATGAAAGAGAGAATACAATGAAAGAGAGAATACAATGAAAGAGAGAATTCAGTGAAAGTGAGAATACAGTGAAAGAGCGAATACAGTGAAATAGAGAATACAGTGAAATAGAGAATACAGTGAAAGAGAGAATACAGTGAAAGAGAGAATAGTGAAAGTGAGAATACAGTGAAAGAGAGAATTCAGTGAATGTGAGAATTCAGTGAATGTGAGAATACAGTGAAATAGAGAATACAGTGAAAGAGAGAATACAGTGAAAGAGAGAATAGTGAAAGTGAGAATACAGTGAAAGAGAGAATACAGTGAAAGAGTGCACATCTCTTTGTACACTATCTAAAAGTACACCTACTCTATGTTGTACTACTGCAGGATGCTGTGGAGGTGAACAGAGTAAACGAACAGACGTATTTTGACCTGGACCCTGAGATGCTGGAGAGAGGAAGGAGGTATCATGTCAGAGTCAGGGTCCGAGCCGACCCAGACGTCCACCCAGACTGTCAGTGGAGCGACTGGAGCCCCAGTGCATCATGGGTCTCTTCTGTGGGCCAGATGAAGCCACAGCCAACAGGTAAATACAGCATCAGTGATACAAGTTTGAATATATTCAACCGCAATGTGTCTCTCTGAATCACACAGGTGCGAGGGACTGCCTTAATTGACATCATTTGAGCCCAGGGAGCAGCTGTTGTTCGGGGTTAACCGTCTTGCTCAAGGGCAGAACAGCAGATTTTTTCCACTTTGCCAGCTCTGAGATTCGCTAGGCTATACAGTATATACTTGGGTTGCGTCCCAAATTGCCCCCTTAGCTACTGTAATTCTATATTACAGTACTGTAAAGCGCAATGCAGTAGTGCACTAAATAGGGAATACATTGCCATAGTAGTGTGTTTCCATATTATTCTTGAAAAATAGCTTCTTCTTCTTCTTCTTCTTCTTCTTCTTCTTCTTCTTCTTCTTCTTCTTCTTCTTCTTCTTCTTCTTCTTCTTCTTCTTCCCTATTTCTTCCTTTCATTCTTAGATAGGCAGACACATGTTCAAAGCAAAACAAACTTACAGACAGAAATGACAATGAATGCTCTTCTATGCCAATCTATAGGTCAAATAGTGGTGTTCTTATGTAAGTTCTAAGTATGTTCTATGTATATTATAAGTATGTCGTTCCTCTGGTCCGGTTCTCAGGTCATCCTGATGTTCTAGACCAGGACTTTGTGGTGGTAACTGTGGTGGGAGCTGTTGTTGTACTGGTCCTGCTGGTCTCCATGTTCCTCTGCAACGGAAAATTGTGAGTACTGTGTGTGTGTGTGTGTGTGTGTGTGTGTGTGTGTGTGTGTGTGTGTGTGTGTGTGTGTGTGTGTGTGTGTGTGTGTGTGTGTGTGTGTGTGTGTGTGTGTGTGTGTGTGTGTGTGTGTGTGTGTGTGTGTGTGTGACCAGGTAAGCTTGGAATAGAGGGGAATTCAAAGTAAATGTGATGTATTTTAAAACCAACCGACTGCAAAGTAAACATCATGTATTTGATGTGATTTCATGTTTTGTAGTTGGTTAACTGCAACTTCCTTTCATGTTGTTCAGTGCTGACAGGGTCAAGGAGATTCTGAATCCTCCTATACCAGATCCCTCCAGGTACTTTGACGGCCTCAACCTCGATCACGATGGAAACTTCAAGGTCAGTTCTACTTTTGACTGAAGTCATGTGCCAAAAGGCACCCTATTCCCTATATAGTGCACTACTTTGTAATGGCTGTAGACTTAGTTAGGTTATAATGGCTGGAATGTAATGGTATCAAACATATAAAACACATAGTTTCCATGTAATTGATACCTTTCCATTAATTCCATTCCAGACATTATTATGAGCTGTCCTCACCATTGTCTTACATTAGCATCATGTAGGAGTGAAGCCACCTGTCAGAAGACAATGCCGTCCTCAACTTATCAGCCTCCTCTGCAACAAAAAGAGTACAGGAATGAAAAAAGAATCATTTTATTTTCCTCTCTCTCCGTGTCTCTGTGTGTGTGGTTTGGTGTGTGTGTGTGTGTGTGTGTGTGTGTACATGCATGTCTGTGTGTGTGCCTACAGGCTTGGCTGGGTCCTCTGTTCGTCCCTGAATCCTTCGACTCTGCTGTGCACCGTGAAGACATCTCCCAGATAGAGATCACCGACAGCCTGGACAATGTCGCCCCCTTGAGGACAGCACTACTCCTGGAAAAGAGATGGGACAGCAGTGCCCACTCTTCCAACTCCGGCTTCTCCAACTGCAGCTACTTTTTATCTCAATGCTCCCGGCCTGGATCCTCCTCCACCAAGCTGGAACCCTGCTCTGTACACTCCCCTTACGGACCAGTAGGTGGCACTACTGAAGAGATAGAAGAGAGGAAGGAGGAGAACAGAGGAGAAGGGATGGATAGTGGTGTAGTGAAGAAGGATGGAGAGATGGGGGGTGGAGGGAAGGATAGAGAGATGGGGGGTGGAGGGAAGGATGGAGAGATGTGGGGTGGAGGGAAGGATGGAGAGATGGGGGATGGAGGGAAGGATGGAGAGATGGGGGGTGGAGGGAAGGATGGAGAGATGTGGGGTGGAGGGAAGGATGGAGAGATTGTGGGTGGAGGGAAGGATAGAGAGATGGGAGGTGGAAGGAAGGATGGAGAGATATGGGGTGGAGGGAAGGATGGAGAGATTGTGGGTGGAGGGAAGGATAGAGAGATGGGGGGTGGAGGGAAGGATGGAGAGATATGGGGTGGAGGGAAGGATGGAGAGATTGTGGGTGGAGGTATACTTGGAGGCATCAGCGGAGGTGAAGATATCCTCCAGGTTTCATCTTACGAGCGTGTTGAGAAGCTCCAGGCCCAGCGTCGGGCCCTCATAAGCCCAGATTCAGGCATCGGCAGTGGGGGAGAGGATCAGGAAAGTCAGGAGAGTGTGGAGGAGGCGGACGGGCCTACGGCAACCATCCCCCATTTTGTCTCTCAGGACTTCCATCTTGTTCCGCTTCTTCCTCTTAGCAATAACAATAACTTTCCATTCTGCTCCACCCCCTTACCCACTGCCCTGTCCGCTTTCCCCCAGCCACCCTTCACCCTCCCTGGGTTGGATAGTGTAGGGGGAAAGGGTAGAGAGATGGGGGTTGGAGGAGGTTCTATCACAATGTCTTCCTCATATGAACGTGTGGATAAGCTCCAGCTCCAGTCCCAACGCCGGGCCCTCCAGAGCCCAGATTCAGGCATCGGCAGTTGGGGAGAGGATCAGGAAAGTCAGGACAGCGTGGAGGATGCAGACAAGCCTACCTTCAACCATATCCCTCTTATTACCAATAACAATATATTTCCATTCTGTTCCACCCCCTTACCCATTCCACTGACCGGTTTACCACAGATACCCTTCACCTTCTCTGGGTTGGGGTTGGCTCCATCTCTGGGTATGAGTACCAGTCATCCAGGCAGGCTGATCGAGGAGATGTCTCTCCTGTCCTCTTCAATGGCAATAGATCCCTCTAGTGGCGGATACATGCCAGTGAAAGAAGCTCAGAGCTGAGCTGTGAAAACATTTTTACCAGGGTCTAGGTTTGCAAAGGTTTTCCAGAAATCCTGGTTGGAGGATCCATAATTTCTGCTTATTCCATCCTGGTTGCGGTAATCTTCCAACCAGGATTTGTGGAAAACCTGGGAATTTTGGGAAAGTTACTAGAATGTTGCATTCCTACCAGGGACACAGTGTTTCCAGTTGGATTGAGAGGGTTAACCCATGTAAATCTAAGCCATAAATGGCAAAAAAAAGAAAAGAAGAAGAAATAAGGTTTTGAAGTGTCTGTCCTATAGCTAGGAGATATAAGAAATCTCAGGAAATATATTTTTAAAAATTACACAAATGTAACCACTTTTTTTTTGGTAGGAACAAAACTACCTCCATACTTCCATAAAACATTTTGAACCGATATCGTTTACCTTCAGGCGACTCCCGTGGGGTCGTAGAGCAAAACAGAGAAGGTGTTCTTTAGAATTTCCCCTTTCAACAGTGGGATCACATTAGTTTGTAGCCCAAACGGTTTTGACGCTACAAACAGAAGTCAGCACACATGTTCGTGAGAGTCTTATCTTTCCATATTTTGTAGGCCAAACCGTTCGGACGCTACAGACGTTTTTATGAGAAGACCGATTTTCGGGATATCTCATGGTCTGACAAACACCGCTCTAGCTCTGCCACCTTTCACCGCAGATGAGGAAGGGCAATATCGGCGGATTCAGATATAAACAGATATCTCTAGCTTAAACTGACAGATTTCAATGGGGATTGTGGATGTCTCTTAGATTGAGGCACCCATACCTCAATCGACTCTAGGGGGTTAAAGGGGCAATCTGGGATTGGTACATCCATTTGTTGCTGTTTGAATCCCAGATTGCTCTTTTATTGGGGTGTGTGAGGTATGGGTATGTTTTACATAGATCCATAGATTCATGTATGTATGTATATAGATATGCATGCATAGTAGTGGTTCTATAGGATGTTAACAGGTGGATAGAGACAGTTAATGGGGTTCTATAGGATGGTAACAGGTGGATAGGGACAGTTAATGGGGTTCTATAGGATGGTAACAGGTGGATAGGGACAGTTAATGGGGTTCTATAGGATGGTAACAGGTGGATAGGGACAGTTAATGGGGTTATATGGGATGGTAACAGGTGGATAGGGACAGTTAATGGGGTTCTATAGGATGGTAACAGGTGGATAGGGACAGTTAATGGGGTTCTATAGGATGGTAACAGGTGGATAGAGACAGTTAATGGGGTTCTATATGATGGTAACAGGTGGATAGGGACAGTTAATGGGGTTCTATAGGATGGTAACAGGTGGATAGAGACAGTTAATGGGGTTCTATAGGATGGTAACAGGTGGATAGAGACAGTTAATGGGGTTATATAGGATGGTAACAGGTGGATAGGGACAGTTAATGGGGTTCTATAGGATGGTAACAGGTGGATAGAGACAGTTAATGGGGTTCTATAGGATGGTAACAGGTGGATAGGGACCGAGTAATAAACATTGCTTTGTGTTACACAGAGTCATAAACAGTGTTTTTGTCTTGTAGGCTACTTTGTTCGTTTAAAAAACAAAGAAGAAATAGCTGTTGAGTTTACCACTCATGTCATATAGTTTCTGTTGAAAGCTGATTGGCTGAAATACGTGGTATATCAGACCATATACTACTCAGGTCATATAGTTTCCATTGAATGCTCAGGGAATTGTCTATTCGTTTTTGTACCACTTCTAACCACATTTCTACCTCTCATGTCAGTATAACCAGGTTATTATAGCAATAAGGCACCTCGGGGGTTTGTGATATATGGATAATATACTCCACGTTGCGTTGTGCCTAAGAACAGCCCTTAGCTGTGGTATATTGGCCACATGGCACACCTCCTCGGGCCTTATTGCTTTTTTTTATATCACTTCTAACCACTTTTCTACCTCTCATGTCAGTGTTACGTCTATTTCTGATATTAATATGATACTGTGATTCTGCTCACAGGAAATACTGATCTGATACTGATAAATCTCTCAGTAGAAATGAAGAATGTATTATTATATTATGTATAACATGACCATCTTGAATGTAATGTCTCTTTTGAAAAATCATGTGGATGGTATCTGATGTTCCAGACAATTTTTGGTTAATTTCAGATGACATTTATTTAACCAGACAATTCAATAACATATATTTAACCAGACAATTCAATAACATATTTAAATAATACTGTGGATAATGTATTTTTTTAAATTATTATTATTTTTATTTTTACAAATGTTTATTGGTTTATTGCATAGACCAATGTTGCAGGTCAAATAATTGTTTGGTTTTGTAAATTGTCATTATTGTAATTTAGATATTGTTTTTAATTATAAGGCAGTTTAATTGTTATTACAATCGTATTGACAGCAATTGATAAAGAAATGTATTTTCTAACATAGACTATGTTGTTTGACTGTTGGTGTTTTTTATATTTCAGCAAATTAATAAAGAATCAACTGTCTGGCGGTGTGTGTGTAGTGAGTTATCAATTCTACAAACACTCCCATTGGACCCATTTACGTTTACGAATAGAGGACGCAGGCACACCTGTTGTGGGATGCGGGGGCCGGCCTGCCAGGATGATGGTGAAGGTGCAGCTGTTGTTAGGTGTCGACTGGTGATGTCATTAGAGCCTACACTTGTTACCTATGCCCTGAGAGGATGTACCGTGCTAAAGGCAATGGCTAAACCAGGACGGGACTATTCTTAAATGTTTAATGTTTTGACAGTTACCCGATAGAGACAATAACTGTCTCGCAATCAATAATTTTTTACATGTAGGATAAATAAGTTGAGCTTTTAGGCTATTGTTATTATTGGTTAAAGTTTAGGCTACTAGCCTGTCTGGTTCAATGGAAATTCGGGAGATCCCAACGCGCTTCAGGAAATATTGACCTAGGGCTCTAGCCTACCTTTGGACTAGCAAATAAAAGGTTGAGTTGTCTCCCCTGTCGTTTCTAGCGGTCGTTACCGACCTGTCTAACGCTGGACGGAGATTCTACCAAGATACATGAAGAAATAAAACGCTTCAACTATCCACCACCGGTGTTTTTTGGACAGAGATGGTCTCGCGGGGAATAACCGATTTGTGAAGTTATGGCGCTCGGGCACGGCTCCAGAAAGTCGCGTTCCTGTGATATGGAGGTACCACCAGCTCCTGTGGACCTGCAATTGGAAAGGGTCAGTAGGCTATATAAGTATTGTGATATTGACAATGTAGGCCTATGATTTTAGCTACCATATAAAATAAATAATATATGTATTTTATGTTCTATGCATATTGTTTTAGTCATTTTATAATAGCCTATAGTTTATTTTATAAGAAAAATGCTCTGGCCAGGGCTTCAGGCTTCACCTGCATTTACTGAAGGTATCTGCAGGCCTTATGCTGGTTTATGCTGCAGGTAGAAGTTGACAATAGACACAGATCTGGGGTCAGTTTAATCTCCTCAAATCCTAAACCTAACCTATGAATGGGGGAATGGTAAAACTGACCTTAGATCAGTGTCAGTTTTAGTTCTAGCTATAAGCATGAGGTCTCTGCACTAGTCTGTGCAGAATCCTCATCCACTGTTCTTACAGACCTGATTATACAGTATAATACCCTAAACTCTGACTTGAGGCCAGTTGTTAACTGGGGCGCATTGTGTGTGTGTTTGTTTGTTGTTGTTGTTTACAGGTGGGGCCCAGTAACGAGGCCTCTGTGATGTCCTCTAAGACATTGAGACGACCCTGCAGGTGTCTCCTAGCCTTCCTTATCATCGTCACCACCATCATCCTCTCTGTAGGAGCCACTCTGGCCTGGTACTTCCTGGGTGAGCAAGGGATTTTGGGAAAATAACCGGACACACACACACACACACACACACACACACACACACACACACACACACACACACACACACACACACACTATGACTGGTTATCTGGATATTTAACATGCCAGTAAGTCTCTCTCTCTCCCCCTCCCCCATCCCTCCCTCCAGAGTACAGGGTGTGGGTACTGGAGCCCAGGATCCAGCAGCAGTATACTGCTAGACTCTCTATCCTCAACAGGAACTACTCCTCTGGTCTCTCCTCTCACACCAGCCCAGCCTTCACAGCCCAGGCCAAGGAAGTACAGGATATGGTATAGGACAAGGGATTTGGGGAAAATAACCTGGGACACACACACACACTTTATGTTTCACTACTTTTTATTTTCAATGTAAATCTTGTCTGTCTCTCTGACCATTTCTCTCTCTCTCTCTCTCTCTCTCTCTCTCTCTCTCTCTCTCTCTCTCTCTCTCTCTCTCTCTCTCTCTCTCTCTCTCTCTCTCTCTCTCTGTCACTCAGGTGAGAAGGATAGTGAAGAGCTCAGATCTATATCGCTACTTCAACTCCACCAAAGTCTTTGCCTTTGCGTATGTAAAACCAGGGTCTATAAATACAGGTCTACATGCATATCTATATCATGCATTTCTATACTTAGTATATCTATGACTGTAAATCTATCTAGGTATTAAACATACTTACCCACACAACATTGACCCACAGTTTACACTTACGTGCATATCTATATCATGCATTTCTATACCCAGTATATGACTGTAAATCTATCTAGGTATTAAACATACCTACCCACACAACATTGACCCACAGTATCCACTTCCGTGCAAATCTATATCATGCATTTCTATACCTAGTATATCTATGACTGTAAATCTATCTAGGTATTAAACATACCTACCCACACAACATTGACCCACAGTATACACTTACATGCATATCTATATTATGCATTTCTATACCTAGTATATGACTGTAAATCTATCTAGGTATTAAACATACCTACCCACACAACATTGACCCACAGTATACACTTACATGCATATCTACAGTACCAGTCAGGTACTGTATATCATGTAGCCTATGTCTATACATTGTTTATCTACTCTATGTAAAACAAACAACACGTACCATTAACCCTCTCAACTACCCGTCGTCACCCTATGGAACCACTGCTATGCATGCGTATCTATATTGATGTATACAGTGCCTTCAGAAAGTATTCATACCCATTAACTTATTCCAGATTTTGTTGTGTTACAGCCTGAATTCAAAAGGGATTAAATATATTTCTCTCACCCATCTACACACAATAAACCATGATGACAAAATGAAAACTTGTTTTTATAATTTTGTTCAATATTTTTGAAATTGAAATACAGAAATATCTAATTTACATGAGTATTCACACCCATGAGTCAATACTTTGTAGAAGCACCTTTGGCAGCGAGTCTTCCTGGTTAAGTCTCTAAGAGCTTTACACACCTGGATTGTGCAAAAGTTGCCCATTATTATTTTCAAAATGTTTCAAGCTCTTTCAAATTGGTTGTTGATCATTGCAAGACAACCATTGTCAGGTCTTGCCATAGATTTTCAAATAGTTTTAAGTCAAAACTGTAACTCGGCCACTCTCTTGGTAAGGAACTCCAGTGTAGATGTGGCCTTGTGTTTTAGGTTATTGTTCTGCTGAAAGGTGGCCTTGTGTTTTAGGTTATTGTCCTGCTGAAAGGTGGCCTTGTGTTTTAGGTTATTGTCCTGCTGAAAGGTGGCCTTGTGTTTTAGGTTATTGTCCTGCTGAAAGGTGGCCTTGTGTTTTAGGTTATTGTCCTTCTGAAAGGTGGCCTTGTGTTTTAGGTTATTGTCCTGCTGAAAGTGGCCTTGTGTTTTAGGTTATTGTCCTGCTGAAAGTGGCCTTGTGTTTTAGGTTATTGTCCTGCTGAAAGTGGCCTTGTGTTTTAGGTTATTGTCCTGCTGAAAGGTGAATTAATCTCCCAGTGTCTGGTGGAAAGCAGACTGAACCAGGTTTTCCTCCAGGATTTTGCCTGTACTTAGCTCGATTCCATTTATTTTTTATTTTCCTGAAAGACTCCCCAGTCCTTAACGATTATAATATAAATAATAATATGCCATTTAGCAGACGCTTTTATCCAAAGCGACTTACAGTCATGTGTGCATACATTTTTGTGTATGGGTGGTCCCGGGGATCGAACCCACTACCTTGGCGTTACAAGCGCCGTGCTCTACCAGCTGAGCTACAGAGGACCACTTACAAGCATAACCATAACATGATGCAGCCATGACAATGCTTGAAAATATGGAGAGTGCTGCTCAGTAATGTGTTGTATTGGATTTGCCCCAAACATAACACTTTGTATTCAGGACCAAAAGTTAATTCCGTTGCCAATTTTTGGCAGTATTACTTTAGTTCCTTGTTGCAAACAGGATGCATGTTTTAGAATGTTTTTATTCTGTACAGGCTTCCTTCTTTTCACTCTGTCATTTAGGTTAGTATTGTGGAGTAACTACAGTGTTGTTGATCCATCCTCAGTTTTCTCCTATCACAGCCATTAAACTCTGTAACTGTTTTAAAGTCATCATTGACCTCATGGTGAAATCCCTGAGAGGGTTTCCTTTCTCTCCATCAACTGAGTTAGGAAGGACGCCTGTATCTTTGTAGTGACTGGGTGTATTGATACACCCTCCAAAGTGTAATTAACAACTTCACCATGCTCAAAGGGAAATTTAATGTCTGCCTTTTGTTTGCCCATCTATCAATAGGTGCCCTTCTTTGCAAGACACTGGAAAACCTTTGTGGTTGAATCTGTGTTTGAAATTCACTGCTTGGCTGAGGGACCTTACAGATAATTGTATGTGTGGGCTACAGAGATTAAATATTATTATTGCACACAGAGTGAGTCCATGCAATTTATTATGTGAATTGTTAATCACATTTCTACTCCGGAACGTATTTAGACTTGCCATAACAAAGGGCTTGAATACTTATTGACTCAAGACATTTCAGCTTTTCATTTGTAATTCATTTGTAAAAATGTCAAAAAACTGAATTTCACTTTGACATTATAGAGTATTGTGTATTGTGTGTATGCCAGTGAAAAAAATCTCAATTTAATCCATTTTAAATTCAGGCCGTAAGACAACAAAATGTGGAAAAAGTCAAGGGGTATGAATACTTCCTGAAGGCACTACGGATCTATGTATATGGATCTATAAATCATTCTTGCAATGCCCACACAAACTTTCTTTCCAGCTGTTATCACCTCATGGAACAACTTTGTCCCTGCTCCCTTGTTTCCCTAGGGAGGGAAGTGTGGTGGCACACTTCTGGCTGGTCCTGTCAGTCCCTGGCAGCCATGTTGGTAAGGTCACTATGGAGAGAGTCAACAGCAGCCTACAGAGTCTACTAGGGTCCTACAGAGGGAGTGACAGAGATGAGACTGCTAACTATGGAGAATATCTATTGCATCTTCCCTCTTTCTCTATCACAGGTGAGTGGGAGAGGAATGTGGGGAAAGGACCTGGGTTTTTATTATAATTTGTGTTTAGTTGATCGTTGTATTATTTGTTCCTCATCACGTTGTTTTCTGTTTGTTTGCTTGTTTGTTTGTTTTCAACCCCTCAGAAACAGACCCCAAAGTTGTAGAACTTTTGAAAGCTTCATTTGGTATGATTTCTTTTATCTTCTCCTCACTTTCTGCATTATTTTAGAAGCTTTAAGAAGTGCTTGAACTATGTAAATTGTAGGTACACAGTGTACCGTACACTTGAAATTAGAGATGAGTGTTCATCTCTTCCTGTTGCTCTCTTTCTCTCTCCCACTTTCTCTCCCTCCTTCCTCCTCCCTGCCTCCCCCCCCAGACTGCTACAGGTACCAGGTGGTCAGCTCCAGCACAGCAGTGGCTATGAGGGGACCTGACACCCAGCGCTTGTCCTGCCTTTGGCACCTCAGGGCCCCGCAAGGCTCCAGCACCCAGGGTTTCAGACTGGAGCTGAGGATGGAGTGGCTGCTACCAGAGTGTAGAGATAGACTGGCTGTCTATGATGGTTTAACGCCTACCGATACTCACCTCATCACCTCGTAAGTTTATAAATACTGTACATATACAGCTATTGGATCTTCATTTGACCCGTATTGTCACAGCAAAATATTCCTGCAGCAACAGGTTTTTAATGTTTGCTTGATTTGTGGTTAGTGTATTAGCTGTCCAAAATTAGGCTACATGAAAAGTGCAATACTGTTAATATAATCGTGTGTTAGTGCAGGTTTTCAGTGAATTTATGTAAATCAAAATTCTTACCAACAAAACAGTGATCAAATTAAGATCATTTATCTGTACAATACATACAGGTAACTGCCAAAATACACGTGCCAAATTGTCCATTACAGTATTTTAGCTACCATGGCTAGAAGAAGAGATCTCAGTGACTTTGAAAGAGGGGTCTCAAAGGAGCATAGGGGGTTTAAAGTGTGTGTGTGTGTCTCAGGCACCAGATCTCAACCCAATTGAACACTTATGGGAGATTCTGGAGCGGTGCCTGAGACAGCATTTTCCACCACCATCAACAAAATACCAAATGATGGAATTTCTTGTGGAAGAACTGTGTCGCATCCCTCCAATAGAGATTCAGAATCTATGCCAAGGTGCATTGAAGCTGTTGTGGCGGCTTGTGGTGGCACGACACCCTATTAAGACACTATGTTGGTGTTCCCTTTATTTTGGTAGTTACCTGTACATCCAGTATAGACAGACAGAGTGTAAAGACAGACTATATGATGCTTTAACACCAACAGATAGTCACCTCATCACCAAGTGACTTTATGTTGATGTTCTATACACTGACAACCTCACACACACACCACAGATGCACACATTATCATATTTAGCCCACTCTCTCTCTCTCTCTCTCTCTCCCTCTCTCTCCTCTCTCTCTCTCTCTCTCTCTCTCTCCTCTCTCTCTCTCTCTCTCTCTCTCTCACCCTCCCTCCCTCCCTCCCTCACCCTCCACCAGTCTGTATGGCTGCAGCAGACAGGAGCGTGTTGTTCATGTGTTGTCATCAGGAGAGTGGATGACAGTGGTCTGGAAACAGGGTCTCTACAACTATAAAGACCCCTTCTCTCTGTCGGCTCAGGTCTGGACCACTGAAGGTGAGGTTTATATGGTTGTTGTTGAAGTGTTTCAAATGACTGTTATATGTTGCTCTCTTACACAAGGACTTCACAAACACTTTCTTCCTTTCACACTCATCATCATCAATCCCCCTCCCTCACCCCCTCTTTCTCCTTCCTCTCTCCCCCTCTCCCCCCTCTCTCTCTCTCTCCGTCTCTCTCTTCCCCCTCTTTCTCTCTCCCCATCTCTCCCCATCTCCCCCCCCCTCTCTCTTGCTCTCTCTCTCTCCCCCCACCCTCTCTCCCTCTCTCCCCCTATCTCCCCCTCTCTCTCTCTCTCTCTCTCTCAGTGTGTTCCACCACCATAGAGCTGCAGCCAGTATCAGGGGTACAGGGTAGCATACGTACCCCCTTCTATCCCAGCTACTACCCACCTGACACCAACTGTACCTGGACATTCACTGTGAGTGTTATACTGTACATCCCCTTCTATTGTCTTCAACTGTCTTCTACTGTCTTCTACTGTCTTCTATTGTCTTCTATTGCCTTCTACTGTCTTTATTGTCTTCTACTGTCTTCTATTGTCTTCTATTGTCTTCTATTGTCTTCTACTGTCTTCTACTG